CCACACGATCCACCGCACGACCACAGCACCGCACACACATCACGCACAAAGCGCACACGCACCAAGTCGCATCACGCACACACACACACCGCGCGCGCGCACCCACGCACACACACACACAACACGCAAACACGCACACACGGCGAGCACGCACATCAGCCATGCACACAACGACAGCGGCACACGCACAGGTCACCGAACACTAAATTCGTGTTAACCAGACAGACAAGTTATGCAGAGCGCAAGGACTCGTTGCAATCAAATTACATATCCAGGAACTGCTATCAAGTGAGTCTCTAGTACTGATATGCCCGCGTACAGTTGCCACTGGCTATAGTGATAGCATCAGACAATTACGAGTGCAGGCGGACACAAACTGTAGAGCTGCTTATACGCATCTATAAAGAGCGTATGTTGGGTTAGGCAGGTATTTATATGCCTGTCTGTATCCGAAGTAATATGCCTAAGTTTATATCAAGTGTTTCTGTCTACTACAGATTCTAAGCCTGCTAACTATCGTTGAAGATGGTCTACTTGGCGATATTGATCTGGTGATAGCGAATCATTCTATTCTGCCAACTTCAATTTTTAAACGGCCATTTTCGGCGGCGCCTGCAGCAGGCGCCAGTCAGCAGAACTAGTATCCGAACTTGGAGGGGTTGGGGCGGGTTGTGCGGTGGGTCGGTGTGGCCGGTGGTGGACAAAAACATTGGTGTTTGTGCAATAATTGCAACTTGAAGCTGAGATCAAAAAAGATGTGAATAGGTTGTAGAATTTGTTATATGACCAAGTTTGTGGTTTGCCCTTATATCACTAATAAGTTTTGATCTTTAAGTGAACTAGGTGGGGGCACGATTATTGGTAGGGGAGTTTATCTGTTGCTATATATTATATTATTTTATGTTTTAAATTTAAAAGGATGTATTTGTTAGAATTAATTATTAATAACAAATTAGTTATTTTCATTTTTTCTTAATTTTTAATTACGTAATCAGTTAGGTTTTTAATTTTTTTAAGTATAATTATAAAGTTTATTAAATTGGGGATTTTAAATTTATTGTAATTATTAATTATATCTATTATGTATTTATATTTTATGTATATCTTAATATTTAGTTATCTTGTATTTTTTTCTATTGGTATAGTTAAAATATTTTTATATAAAGAGTTAATTTATTTATTGTTAAATATCTATGAAATAAAAATATTTTAATTATTTTATAATTGTTAGATTTAAAGTTAAATTAGATTTTAAAAAGTTGTATATTTCCCGTGGGGTTTGTAACATTATCTAATAATTGTTTAATTTAATAATATACTAAAATATAATCTTTTTATTATTTTAATAATTTGTAATAAGTTATAAAACATTAACATATTTTAAATTTCATATTAATATTAAGTATTAATTACTATTGTTTAAACATTAAGTCCTAATGTTAATTAATTAATTTTTATATTATATTTTTAGTTAAAATTTTAAATTTTAATTAAAAAGTTTAATAATGTTTATTTTAAAAGTTAATTTGCTTAAATTATATTTAAAATAAAATAACTTTACATTAAAATAGAAGTAGATATATAAAATTATTGTTTAGATTGTTAGTTTCGTGATGATTTTTAAGTTAATTTATAAATTAAACATTTATGATAAAATTTAAAAATCATTAAAATTAGTAAGTTTAAAATTACCTAAGAGTAGTTATTAATTTATAGAAGAGAATTTTAAAATAGATATTTGATATTATGAATTTTTATTTTAACGTTAGTAAAAATATTGTTTAGTTATGTTAGAATTTTGTAGAGGTTAAATTGAATAAGTTTTTCATGAAGATGAACAAATACATATAATTTTACTTGATAACAAACAACGTTTTTTGTCACACCCAACACGACTCCCCACCCCTTCACGTGCGGAAATACATATTCCTGTCTGACGGCGTGAAAGTAATTTGGTCCGAGCATCGTAATTGTTGATGCTATAGCGCCCCAGCGGCAACTGTACGCGGGCTATAGTACTTAATCTAGTAACAAGTCAGTTGTCAACTCAGTAGATTCACACGACGACGGCTTGCAGTGGGTAACCAGTAGTCTGCAGGGAAACGGTATTGCTAGGGTCTAGAATACCGCGTTTCAGATTCTGAGGGGTCCGGACGCGTGGGGCCCACAATGTCCTTGAGTTGGCTCGGTATCCAACCCACGACACAGAGCTAGCGGCACATGTAATAAGCTCAAACGAATCAAAGTAACCTCTGGCTTGCTCGCGGTAACTGGCGCTATGGCGCTACTTATTTTATGTGAGTTATTTCCGTTTTTCCTGAGGAGTGAAATTGGGATGGTCAAAACACACCGAGATAGCCGCGCATGTTCTGGCCGAATGTTCCAAGTGCAACTAGAAAATGATCAAGATCGGCAATTGGATTCTCTTGATTTTCACAGTGCGTGAGGCCAAAATAACAACGGCAAGTACAGTATTTTCGGCAATGAATAATTATAACGTTGTTGTAGATTGAACGATTCCTGTTTTCAATGGTTTTAATTATTAACATATATACGGATCGAGTATGTGATGGCTTTTGTTATGCTCGGCCAACGCAAGTAGCAACGCATATGGTATGTTGAGTGTCGTTTGCGGGTTTTCCCGTGTTACGCCGTTTCGAAAATCATGCCCATTGCAACATGGCGGTTGCGGTTAGGTGAAAGTTGTCGGTTTGGCTCTTGAAATATTTTACACATGTCACAGCACAACTGAGGGTATTATTTAATCACAACGGCTGGAGATACTATAAGTGAAGGTTAAATTTGATACAAAAACAAGGCAGAAATGCTTAAGATTAGTCTATGTTATTGAATATACGTAATTCGTCGGCTAACCAGGTGTGAAGTGCACCTGACGCGGGATGATACCGCGCGTAGCCGTACGTATATTTCTGGTAATTAATTAAACTATTCGTGCTTAACTAAACACAAAATTCACAGAAATCATACTCATAGCTTAAAGACATGTGTTTATATGTATCTAGAATTTTAGAAATGTAACTCAAATCGTTCGCGAGATATTAGAGTTAGTACACGAGTTAGCCGGCGAACCGAGCTGAGCCCTACCACCACTGGCACCAGGTTACAGGTACACTGTACAGGTAACCTGGTAATCACAAAATTGACTGTTGCTGTATTGATTATATCGCTTACCTTCGATTTCTTTAGGGCTATGGAATCGAGCCTAAAAATATAAAATAAAAAGTGTTACAATTATAACAAATACGACAGGTTTAGAAGTTTTATAGATATGAATATTTTTAACAAGGGGTAAAGTTTACCATGTTGGCGTTTGGTGCTGGGTAACACTGGCCGTAGAAAAATACTAGATAAATAACACAATTTTGTTCGCTTTGTAAACTTTTAGGAATGCTAAGAATTTTATTAATTATAATACTTTTTTTCTGAAAAATTATTCTCATCTATCATTCTTTCTAATTATTTATTTAAAAAATAATCTATCCAGTTAATGCCGTTTGCCGTCGGATGTTCCAAAATGGTAGGTGGTAATTCTAATCACGAGAATTCTAATCACGAGCGAAGGTCGGTTGATTAAGGTGATTGCACAGTAAATTCGACTGCAACTTGCACTAAAAAGTTTACATATTGAAAAATAAAGTAAATAGTGCATGTATATAAGTAGTTCTTTCATGCATATGTGCACTGCACAATTTTATGGGATCAGTCTCAATGTCACCCGATGGTGAAACCGGTGCAAATCCACTTTAGGCACCTTAGCCTAGGTAAGGTATCACGAAGTGACGACAGATTTCTGTGTATCATCAAGTGATGCACAGACTTTCCGTATATCAAGGAATGATGCAAAAACCCTAACCCTAAGTCATAAAGTGGTAACCTTAGCTTAGGTCTCACGAAGTGTGTTACTGTTAGGGTTAGGGTTAACCGTTAGGTTTGGGGTTTTTGCATCATTCCTTGATATACGGAAAGTCTGTGCATCAGTTGATGATACACAGAAATCTGTCGTCACTTCGTGATACCTAAGGTGCCTAAAGTGGATTTGCTCTGGTGAAACCCACAGGCACAGGCACTTGGGCTGAGAGGGTCTATGTCCCCCAGGCTACTGCCGGAACGTACCCTGGTACTATCTAATATGCCGGACTGTACCTCGCCTACTCCACTAACGAGTCTAGGGAGTAGACTACGCCTAGTACTCCCCAACCCTAACCCTAACCTAGCTCTAGTAGTAGTAACTATAGCCCGCGTACAGTTGCCGCTGGGCTATAGGACCAGCCATTAGGGATGCGCGGGACCAACTTAATCACGCTTATTCGCGACTATAAAACGTCTGTGGTAGGCAATTAATGCCTCTTATCCGAAGTGAATATGTCTTAATAATATCAGTTTATTATAATTATTATGATAAATTATCAGTTAAGTTATATCAGCTACTAAAATTTAACTTCTAACTATCGTTGAAATGGTCTACTTGCGGTATTTCTGGTGAACAGACATTTGATTTGCGAACTTCAAACGGCCATTTTTGGCGGCGCTGCAGCAGGCCATGCAGCGCCAGTGAGCGGGAACTATGTATTTCCGAACGTGGAGGGGTGGGCGGATCTGGGTTGGTTGTGGACAAAAACATTGTTGTTGTCAAGTAACAAATTAAGCGATCAAAAAATATTGTAATATTAGTTTTGTCATGAAAGATGAACAAATTACTATTATTAATTTGTTACTTGACAACAACAATGTTTTTGTCCACAACCAACACAAGCCGCCCACCCCTCACGTGGCGGAAAATACAGTAGTTCGCCGCGGTGACCTGGCTGGAGTAAGTTGCGTCATCCGAGGCATTCGTAATGGCTGCGTCTATAGCCCAGTGGCAACTGATACGCGGGCCTATAGGTACTTCGAGCCTAACCTACCATGATCAGGATAGCTTACGGCTAGTACGGTTCGTTGCAGGTACCTGGGGGACATTAGAGCCCTATGAGCGGGCACTTGGAGGTTTCAATAGAAATATGAATCTGCTTAACAGTAAGGTGCGAGTTTGTTTTTTCGCGTCTGTCTGGGCTCTATCTTTCTCCCCCCCCTTCGTAAGGACGGTCGACCCCCATACAGCCATAGTATTATTGCTTGAATTAGATGTCGGCGACGACCCGATTTATTAAGGCCTCCCGCCCAAAAAAAAATACACAAAATAAAAAAGTGTCAAATTAGTAATTACAATTAAAATTATTTATTATTTTAATAAATGTCCGCGTGGTGGCGCTATATACCCTCCTACTGCATCGAGTGCGCGTTTTCGCGGTGTTGTTCGCATTTTGTAGCTTTATTGTAGCTGTATTTTGTAGCTCTATTGTCGAATTACAGCGACAATAAACGAATTATTAGCTTCGAAGGAGACACGAAAGCGTCGTAGACGACTACCATATAGGTATAAATGCTGAACTTATTTGCTGCTTATTTTCGTATTTTCGAGTGTTTCATATTCATCTCCTACAGTAAATCGCTGGATCTATCTGTCTGTCTGTCTTCTCGAGACCAGTAAGAGGTGACCCGTGACTCGGGCCGTGAGGAATATTCTCAATCAGCATGACACGACGACCATTTTAGGCCAAAAACAATTTGCACAAAAAGGCCAACATAAGGGCAAAAAAACAAACAACAGATTTCCCCAAAAATAATACTAGCGCAGCAGAAAAGTTAACAGCAATCCTAGCGCTCGACTATACACTGCAGCAGAAAAGTCAAGACGAATCCTAGCGCAGCAGAAAAGTCAAGACGAATCCTAGCGCAGCAGAAAAGTCAAGACGAATCCTAGCGCAGCAGAAAAGTAAACAGCAATCCTATAGTGCTCAACTATAGTCGGGCTCAAAATCAGGCAATCGCATGAACTGCCGAAACGCAAGCAATAGCAGAAAACGCATGAAATAGCAGAAAAGCAGTAACCCCCAAAAAATCTAGCGCATCGATGGGTAGCCCAGCTAGTGCTAAATAAATACGAAATCTATTTACTACCAAAGTCTTAATGTTTCTATACTCTCTTTCACCTATTATTGCCGACAATTTCCTGTAAATGTCGTCCAAATGCTCATCTGCAACACACGCTGGCTGCCGCACGCTAGCTGCTGCACACTGCCTAGCAGGTAGGAAGGCGTGCTGCCAAAATTCGCTTAACGCTTGCTTGATTTCACGCGAATACAGCATATAATGGCTGTCGGAATCGGGAAACACCCACCGGCGCTCTTCGTGACCTCATTTTTGCGCCGCATCCACGTATCATTTTTGCAATGCTCCACTGGCTGCTTTGATGAGGCTCGTAAGGGAGTTGGAAAGCAGCATGGTAGTTTCCCAAAATTCAGTGCACCGCCTATAGCCCTGTACTTGCACTTTTTGCAGCCATTTACATAAACTGCGCAACGGGAGCGAACGCGAGAATTTCGCCAGGCTTTGTGTGATTTCGCGTGACACAGCTCGGTTACGAACACAGACAGTATGTTTTTATAACAAGTGAACACTGTCCTTCAAATAGAAACAATGATGGAGTGGAATGGTTGAATGTTTGTGTTGTATTCACGTGAAATCAAGCGAGCGTCGAGCGAATTTTGGCAGCACGATTTTCCTACCTGCTATATATTTATGTGTGAGTGTGCAGCAGCTAGCGTGCAGCGGCCAGCGTGTGTTGCAGATGAGCATTTGGACGGCATTTACAGGAAATTGTCTGCAATTATAGGTGAAAGAGAGTAGAGAAACATTGAGACTTTGGTAGTAAATAGATTTCGTATTTATTTAGCATTATAATTTATTGAAATGCTTCAAGTGCCTGTGGTGACACCGACACTGTTGATGTTGATTGTTGCGACACACGCACGGCCTATTCCCTCGGTTCATTACGCACGATTATGCTATAGCTTGTTCTATACGCTATAATATGGCCTTCGTGGCCCAATCCTAGTTTAGCACATTTGCAAAAACACATTTGCGAAAACACATTTGCAGGGTCCCAAACCAGGAATGTGCAGTCTTCGTTTCACTAGATAAAGAAAGCTGTACTACTACTAGTATAGTGTCGGTGTGCTAAGGCTAGTCGCACTACATACAATACATGATAGTATATATTATTAGTTTTATCGCTTTTAGAAAGCACCGCTATCAGCATTGCTGGTCAGTTGACATCGTTGGTTGTGCCAGGTAGCGTATTCTTGCAACTACTTGCTTGAGGGCAGGCTAATACCTGAACCTCTAATTTAGTCATTGATGTTGTGTTTCAAGTTGCTCATTACTTAGTAATTAGTGTACTAGTAGTGAGGTTTTTTAATTATACCTTTTATAATGATTGTGACTAGTAACTGAAGGTATGGAACTATATCATTTAGCCACTTGCCTAGTATTTCAAAGCAATGTTATGAAGTAAGGAGATAAAAGCATAGGGGGCCTTGTTTAATGTAGGCTGGCCATACATATATTCATCTAGATATTAGGCTATTATACAATTGTTTGTGATACCAAGTTTCTTAACTGGCGCTTAACACAAGCCCATTGCCTTTCAATTAAGGTTATGTTACTTCCCGTGATAAGTGGGCCCACGCCCCACGGATATTTCATGAATGATTGACAGTGGAATTTTGATATCCTATTTGAGATATCTGTGGTTGTGGGTTCATACTACTTAGTTGGTGGTGGCTTGATCTTTATACAGGATAACATAGTCTTACAAATATATACCGATGCCATAGTTTGTTATAGAGTAGTATCATGATTATTTCAATCTTGGGAGGGTGTTATGATTTGTTCTTGTATTTCTTGCCTGTATACTGATTCTACTTTGATAATTAACCTGTTTCAGCAGTACTAGGCACAATAGATTAGATTACTAAATAAACAATTGAAAATGTTCTTTGCCACATGCATTAATAAAACAATCCCAAATAACTGCTGTGAGTATAATTCTGGGAACTGAAGCGACGGTACCATATCAATAAGGCTCTTAGAAAATGTCAGTGATGATGTCATTTGTACCTATCACACTAATCCGTGTTACCAGAGCAGCTGATATTATCGTTTGCATGTAGCAAACAGTCAAAAAGTTGCTCCCATAACAGTGCACATGTTATTAGTATTTGTAATTCTTTGTTATTCTTTGTTATTAGTACATGTGATGAGATAAGACATTCAAAACATTTTGAGCTCTGTGTGCATATCTTACTATAATTTGGCGAATGTTGTATGTATGTATGTATGTTAATGAAAGGCTCCGTCAGTTTGGATCCAAATAGCGCCAAATTTACAGAAGAGATCGATGAGTACACGGGACGGGTTATACTCGGTTGAAAACCGTTTGTTCGGTCTTAAAAAAGACAAAAAAAAACACAAAAAGGTAAACATTTGCTCTGAAATAGGGGGCGTTTTTTTTCGTTTCTGTTTGTATTCGTTTTGTTTCAAAAGGCTTTCAATTTCGTTGTTGTTCTGTGTACTCTGTTCGGTGTCTGTCGCTGTCTTGACATTTGTGTTGAGCCCCATAATGTTAAAGTGAGAATAACTATGGTATAATCGAAGTTACAATATTCAGTTTCAGCGTATGATTGGCATAGGTTCCATGTGCAGATGTACAAGTTGAATTTTCATCAGAGCCAGATTTTTTTTTGGCCAGTTTGCTAAGTGCTGTACAGTGTACGGAGTGTCGTGAACACCGATACTGTCACAAGCCGGTCCGCATCACAAGCACGTAAATATTTACGTCGGTCGCCAGAGTGCAAACTTATGCGATAGAAATAAGTGATCACAACCGCAATATTACCTGGTCCCGCACACAGTGGAACATCGCGAACGCACTTAATATTACGTTTACGTTTATTCACCCGATTCACATCTATTTATATTCATAGAGTTTTCGCTGTGAATTGTTGCTTCGTGGCATTAAGGGTAGGGTAAGTTTGCCATAGCTTTCAAGTTCCTGAATAATCCAATCAGTGGTCTAGCACGCTTGTCAATATATAATTTACCCCAAAAAAATTGCAAAAGTTTGTTTTATGTTGTTTTATCGTTAATGATGGGTTATTACAACATTACTAAAGTTCTCCAAAATTCGAGCCATGGCGTCACATTTTGAGGATTAGATTTCATCGATTTTAGTCATTTCCATTAAAAATGTTGAATACTTCCAAAAGCATTTAACTCAGTCAATTTTCATGATAGATCAATGAAACTTGCCATCATTTACCTTAGGTTTTTCAGGGGTCAATCTTCAATGATCTAAAAGGTTCTCGAGTGATGTGTGATTTTTGCAGAACTCGGTAAAGTGCCTTGTTACATAGCATCATTAAAAACATTTCTGTTGGGTGTGTGTATTTCACTGTGTACTTGTATCAAACACCATATATGTCTATGGGTGTTACACGGTTGTACCCGCTACAGCTCGAACATATCGCACTTATCGTTTAATTTCGTATATTTGACAACGCATGCTCAAACCATAAAAAACAAACATGTGCAACAACTAAACTCTCCATATAACACCTTACACATAACACTACTGCACTGGTAACACATGCATCGATCACAGTCACTAAGCCCGCGCGTAGCGCGGGTTTCAGCTAGTATGTTTAAATATTGGTTACTTATACCTACACATACCCTAGACATATCGGGTGTCAGCGTCGTGCAGTTATGATTAGAGTTTCTCGGTTTGCTTTTCATAAAGGATAAGTTTGTAATCTATTATAGTATTGCTAGTTATTATAAAGGAAAAGAAACTTATGAAGAAGTTGTGAAGAAATGTAGTTTGTGTACTAGCCACCATTACTGTTAATTTATTGAACTGTACTAGCATACAAAATTCATGCTAATTGAATTATCATACAATAGCTATGTTACACTTGAAATGCAGGCTGCTGCTGGTAGTATTGATGAGTAGTGTATGTGTCAACAGCCTGCAAGTTTTGTGTAATTTCTGACTCGCATTCTTGGTTCTGTGTGAATTTTGTTTGTTTATTATTTGCTATTTCCTAGATCGTAGTGCTTTCTGCTTAGGGCAGATGCCAGATGACATCTATCTGGCTCCTACTATATGTGCCCCATATCAGTTGTTACATAACATAACAGTTGTTACGTGAGGGCATATATCTGCTTATAATTAGTTTATATCTGCAATTTATAGGCTATCGCATACATGGACTTGTGCAAGGAATGCAAGCTTAGGTGGACAAGGGAATCGCAGCCATGATCATGGAGCCACCATCCTCACGCGACGACCCTGTGGGTCATGTGAGTTTTCTGGAGGACGGCATACTAAAAGAAACGATAGTGGTCGAGAAATTGCCGGAGGATACGCGGCACACAAAGGATGAGAGGAAGGTACGGAAAAGCTTATGACAGATGTACAATTCGAAATTAGTACTAAACAAAGGTATCTAACACTTGATAATCTCACTTGTGTGATTATACAACTTTATTGCACAATTGTATAGTGAATAACTGACTTTACCTCTAATCCAGCATGAATTTCAATGTAGTAAGAACCGATTTTTAGTTCTGTATTTTGCATTTATGGACAATCATAGTATGTGTGTGAAGTCGTTTTCCCAAGATAGCATGTCTGCACAGTTTTTTAGGCTTCACGTTTTTGAGAGAATTATTTATTTTTTTATTTTTACTAAATTACTGTGGAATGTTCCTTCAGTGCAAAGAGTAGTGTGTCTTGTCTTCACTATCATTATACGTTATAGTAGATTTTAGTTGGTAATGAAAATGAATTTCCATACAATGATGTCTAGATATTCTGAATTGATGAGGAATTTGAGTGTTATTGGCTGTTTGCTTTTATACTGTAAAAGCACTTCATGCATGTGCCAGTGTACAAGACCATTACTGAATGCCCACAACACACCAATGTGCATGGTTGTAATTGGTCGAAATCTTCTGTGGATGAAACATTTATTTTCCTGTTTAGATGAGTACTCGGCATCGGGTAATCACATCTCTCACAGCTGGGGCCATGGCTGGAGCTTTCGCAAAAACCGTCATCGCACCTTTGGACCGAACGAAAATCTACTTTCAAAGTAAGTCTTGCATTTCTGTACATGTTATATCAGATAAGTATACTTGAAGAGTTCAGGCGCAAAAACAGATAAATCTATTTTTTTCGTTTTTTGTAAATCAAGTATTTCTGTGGAGCTTTTCATGAAATAATCATCCTACTGATGTGGGTTGCAATCACATCTTTATGAGCAATCAAAACGAAGGTCACAATTGGAAAAATGTGAATTTATTAGAAAAACGGAATTTTGATAACTTTGAACAAATTTGTCAGCAAAAACAAATAAATCCAAATGGCAATATCCTTGATAAAGACAAATTCTATGGTGCCAGCTAGGCCCAAAATACTGATTTATTCTTTCAGAAGAATGCCTGTTCGGCCTTTCTGCCTCCTACGCTGAACTTTTTTGATATCCATGTAGGTTAACAGTATGGCATCTTGTTTCACCTTATCAGTTGTCGAATACAGGAGATTAAACAAACGAGTCATTTCGTTTTCTGAGACAGTAGTGGCCACACACATACCCTGTACATTATGTACACAAGCAATAGATGGGACTTTTTTGAGTGCACTGTGTCTACCTTTCTTGCTCACAGACCGCACTGATTCATCAGGACACTGTCTCTTTTTGCGCCCAGTAGGTGAGAGCACAACAGGCTCACTAATATCATCAAAATTATTCATTATGGACGCTTAAAGTCAACGATTTCTGTTCTAAAATCGGCCTCAACGCATTGTCAAGCGAGCGAAGGCGCTGCCATGTTGGATGACATAGGCTAAATCTGATGCGCTGATTGGTCAGATGGAGTTATCGGCTGTTGCTAAAAAAAGAGCATGGCGCATGTCGGCTTATGCAGTAAAACGTTATATTCAACTGTGAAATGCGAAGGATATAGCGGTATTTGCGATTTTACCTTCAGATGGAGATTGGTGTAAGCTATTTTGTGGTACACTTAAGTCAATATTTTCGGCAATGGCGTTTATCAGTTTTTGCCCCTGAACTCTTCATTTGTTTCCAGGCACATGGTGAGTGTACTTCCTCTTAAGTGGGTGCTTGAAGTAGTATCAATGCAATGCCATTACTGCTTGTATCCGTCATTTTTCGTACCTGTCATTGTGTTGCAGTGATTTCTTTTTCCTGTCAGTTTATGTGTGCGTCATTGCCGTGTCCCACTTCTGTCCAGTGAATTAGTAGCCAGTCACCCAGCCTCAAGAGACACAGGATTCTGTATATGTATGATTCTGTACTCCAGTCATATGATTGTGGATCATCATTGCTTATCTTTGTCATTTTATTTTTGCATCAATTCCTTTTTACATACTATTCCACGTCAGTGCAGAACCCATACGTATCTCTCGGTTTTATATCAGGATCACAATGTTCTTGTTTAAAAACAGTAACCTTCATTTTATATATTTGTTTGGTGTGATTCATAGGCAGCTCTTGGCAATCTTTCCGATAGGATGTTATGCAAGTAATGGTTAGCAGCAAAGTGCCACGCAATCGACATTTTGGCATGCACAAACTTGTGGAATAGACTGATCTGACAACGAATTTTAATGAGGCAGAGCTTAGTTATCTTGGTTAGGTGCTTGTGTATATTTCCTACAGTGATCGTTTTTTGTCTTGCACGTCACGCAGTATCCAATAAAAAGTTCAGTGCAAAGAAGGCGGTGAGTTTTCTCAGGAACACGTGGAAGAATGAGGGCTTCCTACGGCTATGGCGGGGAAACACAGCAACCATGGTGCGTGTCATGCCCTACGCGGCCCTGCAATTCTCCTCCCACGAGCAGTGGAAGATCCTACTCTCCACTGGAGACGGTGCTAAGTAAGTATCTTATAGCGATCTTTGAAAATATCTTCACCTATGAAACGCTCAAGAAATTCCATGGCGGTGAGCTAGTACCCGTAATCTTTACACCCGCATATGGTTGGTGTCAATCTCTCAATTGAATAATGGCTTTATTTGGGGTTGTGATATCAGAATTCAATGTAAATTTTAAAATATCTGTGAATATGAAAAAACTGAATGTTTGTTGTTAGTAAAATGGTTATTGCTGCACATACTTATTCAAAAGTGGGTACTGTTAGTGTTAAACAGTCATGTCTTCATCGTTGAATATCTAACTAAGTAATGGAAATAATTGTTGTTCTTTTCAACAAATTTATATATGGCACATATTGTGATATTTCAATGTTTCCATTAAAATTTTTAGTCAATTCAATTCGGATATGGCCAGGTAGCAGCTTTTACCTAGTATATTCTGTGATATGTGGTATCTGGCGTATAGGTTAGGATCACTTGGGTATGTCAATCAACATATTCTCATGATTAGTTATGAATTGCATCGATTCTTAGGATTTGTATCCAAGCAGTTGGATTCAGCAGATTTTTTCTTACAGATATCTAAGTCCATTGCGGCGGTATGTAGCTGGTTCATTAGCTGGCACCACTGCTGTGACATGCACGTACCCACTGGATCTAGCACGTGCTCGCATGGCTGTCACGAATGCCCACAAGTAAGTGCACTGCCTTACGAACAGATTCCTATGAATCTTTCTGGATCAGTTTTTAGGTCTTTGCAGTCAAATCTGTATTATCGGTCACGTTAAAAGAACAGACAACTGTTCAAATGTAAAGGACATTTTCCTTGAGTGGCAGTTATACGGTGAAAGCACCGCTATATAATGGTTCCCTGTTTGTAAAGGCCACTTTTGGTATTTCCCTTCTGTGCCCCTTATATACAGGTTTGAATATTCACGTAGGCAGAATGCAAATCCAAAAAAGGTAACTCTGTTCTGGAATTCTTGTAATAAAGGCTTATGCCCTAAATTTATTAATAGTGGGTGTGTTGTGTGGCACTAAAATGTGTTTAATGCCGATGTTCACAATGATGATTACACTGCACATAAAGTATACATTTAAGTTTTATCAGAATTATCGGCATAAGCGTGCACTGAAGCTTGGTATTTTGGTCTTTACCAAACTGTAATGTTTTCGTCGAGTTATTTAAACTTGTGAATGTCTGTTATTCATACCAAAATGCGAGTGGTTTCATGTTGGATGACATTGGACCACCAGTGTTAATATAAAGTACAAGCTTTTTTCTGCCAATTATTAGCTTAAGCATGCAATGGAGCTTGATCTTTCGATCTGTACCAAACTTTCATGGTTGTTCTTGCATTGTTTCAACTTGTAAATGTCTGTTATGCATACCAAAATGTGAGCGGTTTTGTGTCAGATGATATTTGGCCACCAGTGCAATTATCTTTAAGGGAGTTGTGCCTTCCAAAGGCTAAATGGATTTAATAGCCAGCTGACAACCTAAAAAATTTTATGAGTGTAACATTTACAAAGTATATTAATGTACTTTGTTGTTTTTGTCCGCATTCAAGACAAATTGGTTATTGTTGTTTGTTATTCTCTTGCAGGTATAAGTCATTATTCTCTGTGTTCAGTAAAATTGTGCGTGAGGAGGGTGTGAGGACATTATATCGAGGGTTTAATCCCACTGTTCTTGGAGTGATACCCTATGCTGGTACCAGCTTCTTCACCTATGAAACGCTCAAGAAATTCCATGGCGGTGAGCTAGTACGCGTAATCTTTATGCTCGCATATGGTTGGTGTCAATATATCAATTGAATAATGGTTTTATTTGGGGTTGTGATGTCGGAATTCCATGAAAATCCTATCAAAATTCACGTGTACTTATTGCAGGAAGTTGTAGGCAATTGCGTAATAAGATCGTGTGAATGTAATTGAAATATATATTCCCGGTAGGTTCTATAAATAACAAATGTTTTTAATGCTAACGTATCACGGCTGTGAGCCACCGATAGCACATTGTTGGTCAGGTTACCTACGATCCTACAGCTCTCGAGTCATGGGCACCACATTATTGTGGACCATTTTATATACCATGTACAGACTGCAAAATTTGATCCCACATTAAACTAGTCCTACAGTCCTACAGCTTTCGAGTCATGGTTACCACATTATTGTGGACCATTTTATATACCCCGTACAGACTGCAAAATTTGATGCCACATTAAACTAGTCCTACAGTCCTACAGCTTTCGAGTCATGGGTACCACATTATTGTGGACCATTTTATATACCCCGTACAGACTGCAAAATTTGATGCCACATTAAACTAGTCCTACAGTCCTACAGCTTTCGAGTCCTGGGCACCACAGGACCATTTTATAGGTGCATAGCATCATGGAAGCTGCTAACACTATCACGCTGTGCGTCATGTTACAGAATATTCGGGACAACCAGAACCGAGGCCCTGGCAACGGCTGCTGTGCGGGGCGTGCGCCGGCCTGTGTGGTCAGTCGGCTTCATACCCGCTAGACATTGTACGGCGGCGCATGCAGACGGCCGGGGTGAGCACGCTCGGACATCATTACTCCACGATTGCTGGCACTGTGAGATATGTGGTGCAGACGGAGGGCGTTATAGGTGGTATCTACAAGGGACTGAGCATGAACTGGATCAAGGGCCCCATAGCTGTCGGCATCAGCTTTACGACCTTTGACATCATGCAGTCGGTCATCCGCCGGATTCCATTGTTCTACGAGGCGAGATAGCACTGAATGAGGTGTGACGTCACACTAGATGTGCTAGCAGCGGGTGAGATGACACCATGGTAGAATGCGTTGCCTTGTGCGATCTTACGTCACATAAAGCCTAGCGCACACACCCGAGCAAAACGGGAAATTTTGTTTTCCAGCGTTTCGCGTTTTGCTCGGCGAGCAAGCGCACACACCCCACCCGACACAGCACACAGCTGAGCAAAACATACAGAAACACTGCGTACAGCGCCGCTGTCACATGACATCAAAAATAGCCATTCAATGGACATCCAATTTTGTGTGTCATGTGATATTTTTAAGGATATTGATTGGAGACCGTCTGTGGCGTTTCGCTGTGTAGCAGAACGATTGACGCACACACCCGAGCAAAACGTACGCTCAGGCGAAAACACGTTCACAAGCAATTTTTTTTGTTTCGGGAATCCGCACACAGCCACGAACATCGAGCGAAACACGTTTTGCTCCACGTTCAGGGTGTTTTTGCTCGGGTGTGTGCGCTAGGCTTTAGGTGTGGCATAACACCGAGGATTATGACATCGTGCTAAAGGCATAACAATGAGAGACGTGGCCTAGATACCAACATAGCGCTGGATGTAACACCATGCTAGATATCGTGGCAATGACTTACCTGGCATCGTGGTAGGCGGCAAGCGACACGTAATGTGGTACTTTGGTTACCTCTGGTGTTATACTGTGTAGTGTGCTCTTGCTCACTTCATGTCATGCTGTACCGCAGCGAGTCATCAACAAGGCAGTACGGCAGCTAAATGAATTTACGTGTAGCTGTCAACCCCGTGGAAACTGCTAAATAGATGTTATCACACATATTGTGACAGTCTTGTAAACTGGCGTCTTACACGTACCGTATCAAAGTATGTATGTACGTATACTTTGCACGCTGGGGTGCTATGTGATCCTGATCATATTTGAGATGTAGATGCAACGTGACTTTTGCTCATTAATCAAACAGTACATGGAGTGGCAATTATTAGACACACTCCTAGTAGTACTGTTGTAAAACTATACTACTCATATACTAGATGTGGCATACAAAGTAATTAGGTTAAAATTTTGTATTTAGTCATTTTTACGTCAACGGATACCTCGTGTATCTACCCAATCGTTTGGATTTCACAAAATTGTTGCACAACATATCACGTTTCTTGCTACACACTGCAGATAAGTTGTTTAACATGAATGCTTGGAATGGCAAATTATGGCACGTTTTATACTGTTTTGTGAAGTAGTAGTTTAGACAAACTAACATTTCCCGTCACCTTTGTGAGTGTGGTTTCACTGTGCCAATTGTTGCTCACATCTACCTACAGGTAACCATTGACCTGGCGATACATGTCAAGAAGTATTATCCCAACACCCGTTCCATCATTTTCAGTGGACGTTACTGGTTTTGAAATCACATCTCCGTGATCGCTTGGTGTCTATGATGATATGAGATATAATAGATTAATTTAATTAGATTGATTGTTGATTTATTTATTCTGACAATTTAAGTACCTATAACAGGTTTTATGTAGATGTATAGCACAAAGATACAGTACTTCTGAAGGCGGTTATAGCCTGAGCATGATTCTTCCACTATACGGTACGGTTATAACGTTTTATTACGTGCAGTTTTGAGGTGCTTGCCCAGCTACCCAGTATTACATATTTCCACCCGGAGCCCTAACAGGTTGCATACAGGCGTGACTCGCAGTAACTGAAACCAATGCTGTACCCATAGATGGTTGCTAATTGCTTTGCCCAATCTGCCTGCAAAAGGAATGCCAAGAGTTGTCAAGTAACCAATTGGGAAGTTGAGATTATGGCAATATTTAAGGTTTGACATCTTTCATTGTATTTAATTAGAAAAGGTGTTGAAGTAGTTTTGCAATTGGGGCATTAGCTGACAAGAGACTCAAATCACTGACCAAGCAGCCTTGCTCCTGTGTTCGGGTTAGTATCTTGTGCAGTATTTTATACAAGGTCATTGGTAGAGGAATGCAGTATATAGCAGTAAAGTGAAGGCTTGCGATTTTTCTAAGTGATGTGTGCAGTTGTGTCATTGCAGAGATGCCTTCCGTGAGCTAGCTGCGTTCTGGTGCAGCAATGTAGAAGCATTCTTCAAGGTTGTAACTAGTATTGCCATTGGTTGGGAAGCCCACCACTGCAATTGCACAGCATCGGTGATAGATCTCTCGTCAGGTTTTTATTGTAAATAAACTAGAATTGGTGAGAATCGACTTTGCCGTCACTTGTTGTGTGGATTCTGAGCAGTACCGTCGAAGAATGTCTGCTTAAACACTGAATAGCATACAGCATTTTGGTAGCAAACAATTTTATGTTTGTATCAAATACTGTTTGCTTCTGTTGCAAATTGTATTCAAAACAGAAATAAATTTTACATAATGTTGCAAATTAGTTGCATTGTGCTTGTATTATTAGTTGTGGTTTCAAAAAGATTAGATGTGTTTATTCTGTGCCCGTAGTCTTACAAAGAGAAAAGTAAGGTATTCCCATGAACTCGGACAAACCAAAGTATACTCAGCACAGATGTGTTCGTGGCATTACTTACTATATTGTAAACCTGATTTTAGTAACGTGTAGTAACCACTAACCACAGACGATAAGAACAATTAAAAGTTTCCACTTTAGTTCCACCACATTTTATTTTGAAATCTACTGTTCTGATAGAGATTTTCAATGTAAAGGCTACACAATTTGTATAAAAGTTGTAGATTTCATGTTCATTGTGGCATTTGAGGTCTTTTAGCTGACAGCTAAACGAAGGTCGGGCCGATCAGGCATGATTTAGCATATCATGCACTATCAATATCTGTATTTCTCTATAACTCTACACCCGTGGTTCATAACCTTGGGTATGAAATGCTTTTTATCTTTGCTTTTTAGAAGTGGCTGTTCCTCTCACGTATTTCTTGTATTGCCCCTGTATCCTTATATTAATGAACATATTTGTACTCAGACCAAGCAAATGCTCTATCAATTGTGGTTCTGTATCGATGACATTAAATTTAGAATTTTCAAAGTTACCACTCTGGGCAGAATCTGCGTGTTTACTGATTTATAAAATAGCCCCTATCGTGTACTGAAATCAATTCTGACCCCCTGTTACAGCCTATGATAGTAAACTAGATGCTGCAGGTCTTGAACAAATGTTACAATGCACATTCTAAATGTTTATAATTACTCACAAATGTAGAATTGCTGCAATTTACTAATTAACTAATGTAAATGGTAACTTTTTTTGTGCATGATGTACCAAACGTTGATACACAGTAACCAATGATCAGAAACTACATTACTCATGCTACCTCATGCTAGTTTTTCTGCCATTACCTGGCGTTTTGGCATCGTTGCATTTAATACAAGTGATAAAAGGCTTGTATGTTTAGAGTATATATATATATCGTATATTCATGCTTATATATACCGTGTACATACATCACGCACAATACAATGGTAATTGTCTGTGCAAACTCGTACTTCATTACTAAATACGATTATATAAAAATTACATCACATTCTAAAAAGGAATGGATTTGAAAGTTGTCACAAAACATGTTTAACTTAAATGTGTAAAGCTAAACAGTATGCGCTACGAATATTTGTTCTGTTCAAGAACATGACATTTTCAAGAAATTAAAATTTTCACTAATATGAAAACATGCCCATATTTACAACAGACATAAAAGCTGACAGATTAAAAAGCCAAAACTATTGATGGATGCATGGGAGTGAGAGGGTAGGTATAGGCATAAGTAAAATCAGGAGCGTATAAAGAAGGAGAGCGTACACCAGTGAAATGGTGAAACCATGTTGCAGTATTAGTCGAATTAAGAAACTGCCCGTGTTATTTTGACGATTCTTTGCGGTATTATTAATCAGCTGTCCTACCTTGTTAGTATAAAACAAACTGCTTGTCCCTACGATGCTCCTACGCTGAGATAATGAGCGGTGAACCGCCGTATTTCGCCGAGAACCGACTCGAGATCAGTGTTTACTGCGACTGTCTCTCGCTGTAGATTTTCAGCGCTCATTATCTCAGCGTAGGGGCATCGTAGGGACATGCGGTTTGTTTTATATTAACAAGGTAGGACAGCTGATCAATAATACTGCAAAGAATCGTCAAAATAAAACGGGGAAAGTTTATTAATTCGACTAATACTGCAACATGGTTTCAGCATTTCACATTTTTATACGCTCTCCTTTATATGCTCTCGGTAAAATACATCTCTCTATACATATTTTGTTTAGCACCACACTAAATATACATATAACCATGAATGCCTATCACTTTCTCATGGTCCTAAACATATCTGGGTTTAGGAGCTTGTTTTAAAAGAGGCAAGATAGAAGGGCAGGTATTCTTTGATACTTACACATCTTATAAAGGGTAAAATGCAGACACCCTACAAACGAACCAGTGACTGGGACAAGACTACTAGGTGATGAAAGACAGTTGCTAGCAGTACCAGCAAATTAGTAACTGGGTAAACGTGTTAGTAGCATAGCTGGGGCAAGCCAAGAACGGTGGTGATTGGCACAGAAATATTGATCAAATGTTGTACATTCCATTTGGGCGCAAGAGCTGTCCATTATAATAATACATGATACCAACAATAAAGTATAACGTTCTACACTCTCTTGCACCATACGACACTATAGAAACATTTCTTTGCTAAATGATTGTATTTTTATGTTTACTGGCCAGTATATTGTACATGCAAATATCGAAAAGCCAAGTAGGCTTATTTGGAATCTAGCAACTTCCATATTATGCTTGGTAGAGAGATTTGTAAATATAGATAGGGAAGTTACGGGCTGCAATAAACTATTAAATAGAAAGAAGAAGGAAAAGAAGAAAAACGAGTCAAACAAAGGTAAAAACTGACCCCTTTCAGTTTCAGGGCTGTGGGTTAGGGTTTTTGAAAAACAAGACTCCACACATGAAGAATTAATAATCTCTCCGTTGGTAGCAAAAGCAATTTACGAAAATAAGCTCTGTTATTAGGAGCTTAATATAATATCATAGTATACCCTGTGAATTAAAACAAAGGAGACTACCACACACCTATAGCTCTATATGACTCCACGACATAATTAACAGTGGTAGCTACCCTGTAGATGGCAGCACTGCACGGGCAGTAGCTAGCAGCACTTGGGCATATCCATGTTGTCTACATGCGGGTGTGTGTTGCCCTGGTGTCCCAGCACACCGTCGATGACATCATTCATGTTCGTGTTATTGCCGTTTTCTATCAGCGAGTTTAGTCTGAGAAGACTGTCACACAGTCTGGAGATGCGCACAGCCACTTCATAGAATGCCTCCTCCACTCCTGCATGACAGAGCATGTACTTACTAATAAATCGTTTGCTCTCACTTTCTGCCCTTTTCCCGCCCTCCCTTCCCTCCTTCTAAACTAGCTCTGAATAGCAGCCAAAGACAAATGACATTAACTGAGGCAGCTACGCCACACACTGGTAAAACAATTTCTAACTGTCAAGTTAACACAATACTGTGATACAGCAGCACAACATTGCATGTTATTTTAAACAGCAGCATCCCTGGCTATTGCATACCTGTGTTCTGGTAAGCAGACGTCTCCTGGAAGACGGCACCAATCGAGGCAGCAAAGTTGAAAGCTTCTTCCGTTGGCACCTCCCGCCTATCCTCAAGGTCGTGCTTGTTGCCCAGGAGACACAACACAAGCGGGTTGTCTACATTGCCATTCAGCTCTACGCCATAGAAACCCAATAAGATGCATGTGTAAATGTCCACTGCATACTTTGTGTTCATATAGTTGGAGCTTTTATCAGACTAGCAGGCTTATCCTGAGAAATATCGAATCTAGCCTCACAGTGTTTTTATACCCGTCCCTGTGTCCAACTACTATTGGACTAGGACAACGCTGTCTCAGCTATGCATGCAAAATCTTTGCAATGCATAACAGAACCAGATATGGTTCGCAGTTATATGTTTCAGCACATCACCAATGTACAATGCACTATTATGAAATCTGTGACAATACAATTAAATGATTAAGCTGGAAATAAAGTTTGAGCCTGTCAGACAAAAAGACTTTTATTGAAGGGGTACAGATTCTTGACTCTAGTATAAAATAAGTCAGATTCTGGAGAGACACAAGCCTCTAACCCCGGAAACAAGCAGAGACTCACTATCTCTATAACTGTAATTCTTACCTTCTACCCAAGATTTCAAGTCAACGAAGGATGAATAGCTTGTGATGTCATATACCAAAATAGCAGCATTTGTATTCCTGTAGTACAAGGGAGCCTGAAACAAAGCCATGAACATGATATATCCATGAGAAGGCTTCTCTCAATGTCTCCATTGTCACATATATATTCAGCAAAAAAATTCGCTTGATACAGGTCTTCAGAATCTTCAACAAACCGACTGGCATTAAAGTATGTTGAGCAACACAAGTATAAGCTCACCATTGCTCTGAATCGCTCCTGTCCAGCAGTGTCCCAAACCTGCATCTTCACTTCCATGTGTCCCAGATTTCTGCAGAAATATTAACATTCAAACATTAAATTTACCTGACGTACACTAGATGTATCCGGTACCTGTGTTTCACTAAGTGGCTTTGAGGATCTTCCCCACCCCCAATTATTTTTATTAAAGACGATGTGAGATTCATTTTGAGGTTTTGGTACTTTCATGTATATAAATTATATGCCTGCAGAAATTTAGATACACAACTGAATTATCCACAGGGCTGGTCAGCCCAGACATTCTACTGGAGCTGAATTCTAACCGCATTTGGCAAGCATTTGTACCAGGTCAGCTTGGTACATTGAATTGTAATGCAAGGTATTAGAATTTGCAGATTGTTTCCTGGTATACAACGACAATTACCCCCCCCCCCCCGACTGTCATTAGAAAAACCATTTAATTCAAAACCAAACAGTAGATAGTTCTAGGTGTACCTGCAACCAGTAATCGACATCGTAGAACACTCACACTTTGCAGGCACAATATGAAGCTCCTATTGTTGGACTGACATGCTTGTCAAATCTGCTCCCTTTTAACCTCAGTATCACACTTGTTTTTCCAACTGCTGTAAAAACATTAAAAGCAAAAGGCTGACTTATAAAAATTGTTATACTCACAATTATTATTATTATAATTATTAAGTTAGTAGTTGCAGTCATAGTCACAGTCACACCAGTAGTAGTAGTAGTATTAGTAGCAGTAGTAGTAGTACTATTATTATCATCGTCATCATCATTTTATTGCACTTTTTCTCCGATTAGCTTTAATCGCTGCCTGACGTACAAACAGGTTCAAGGCACAGGTACTGGAACATCCTAAACCCGAAATCTAAAAGTTAGTCTCGTACAATCTTTAGCGTAATGAAGGCGATCAGCGTATTATGTAAATAATCACATATAATTATACGTGGTAAAGGAGAAAAATGAATTTACGTAAATTATTATACCTTGCGACCCAAGCATAACAACTTTGGATATTAATTCTCTCATTTTAAAAGCCACAGTCACAGAGGTATATTCTCAATGAATATGGCGAAGACGTCAAGAATGTCCAGAAGATGTCAGCCTCCTTCCATTGTCCGTGCTTGATAGATAGTAGCTTTATTATGTCTACAATTGCAAAAGAGTCGAGTCATCTGATTGAATGCACGTTGTCAAGCGTAATCATTGCCAGCCACCACTGAACGTACGCGTATAACATAACAAGTGTTGTAAAACTTAGATGCAGAACAACAACACAACAACAAGACAAGACAAGCTCAAACCCCACCATTCACTCACTTAGCTCTGCCAGTGTAAATAGCCCTTCTATCGCTCAGCATCGCTGCGAGGGTCTATGCCCCCCAGGGTACTGCCGGAACGTAACCTGGGTACGGTCCGGTATACCAGAACATACCCTGGTACTATCTAATATGCCGGACCGTACCTCGCCTACTCCACTAACGAGTCTAGGGAGTTGCCTACGCCTACTCCCTAACCCTAACCATATCAAATAGTCACCAGGGTACGGTATACCGGACAGTACCCAGGGTACGCTCCGGCAGTACCCTGGGGACATAGACCCTATGAGCCTCAGCATCGCGACGGACGGCTGTGGTATATTGTCATTAGCAGAGGCATATCTAGGAAAAACAGCGCCCGGGGCAAGTGCTAAAATTGTTTCACTTCTGACGCCAATAAAAAAAATTAAGAAAAAAATGGAATGTTGAGTTTTTGGTTGTTCCTAAGATTAGGATGCCAATACTTCTAAACTACAGCTACTATCCCAGGTCCAGGTAACAGGGGCGTGTACAGGATTTGTACCAGGGGTTGTTTCCAAACTTGTGAGCATGCGAAGGGGGGTCTGGGGGGCCCTTGCCCAGAAATTTTTTGAAATTAGACCCCCTTAGATGCGTTTTCTGCGCGAGCAGGGGGGTGTCCGGACCCCCTGGACCCCCCCTGTACGCGCTCCTGGGTAATCAACTTGTCAAATAAAGGATTGAATTATTTCAAGATATCATTTAGTAGGCAGATTGTTTTTTTTCCTTGGCCTTTTTGCGTTTTTTTTTACCTTTGCCTTTTTTGCGCCCCCCTGAAGGACCCCCTGAAGTGAACATGGCGCCCGGGGCACGTGCCCCCCTTGCCACCCCCCTAGATACGCCACTGGTCATTACTTTAGATACAATAATGGTACAATTAACACAACAAGGGTATCGTGTTGGGTTACACTAGTATTCACTATTGTAGGACGCAGTGCATAACGTAGTACACCGACGTAGTACATAAGTAGTCCGTCGTAAGTACAACAACAATATATAACTCACTGCTTCCTGGCGCTGCACCGGACGCAGGTCTACGTGCAGGCTATAGCCTATAGGTTACACGGGCAGAGCAGTTTTTTACGCCCACGGTTTTAAAAGTCAAGTAAAAAGTTATAGACTAGCAAGAATCAGCAAACCATGCAGCTTCTGCTCACCACTTCAACATCAGCGTATCGTTTAATTATGACACCTCTAACCTTAGAAATAGCCTAGGCTAGTGGTGCCAGTCGCATATTTACTTTCTACAGACAACTATTTACTTACAAGATTTCGTCCGAGCATTTGTTGCGCATGCGCTGTTCATGTTGTTGCGCGTGGCCAATCATCATCATGTAGTCTGCAGCGTAGAGGAAACTCGCATGCTATGGTTCTCAGCGGCCGTGAATTTCGCTCTTGCTACCTCTCTTTATTTGTAATGTGTACGTTTGTACAATAGTAGATAGCATAGTGTTATGTCATTGTGATATCTATTGTCGATAGCTTTAGCTTGGAAACTTGTATTATCATCCCAGGAGCGTAAATCCCGGGGGGGATAATGGGGATGGCCTGTACAAATATCTCCCCTGAGATTCAAAAAAAAAAGAAAACAAAAAGAAAGAATTGGAAGAAGAAAAAAGAAAGAAATGTGATTGTTTCAATTTCAGCGTAATGCATGAGAAATGAGTTTTTTTAAATGTATGTATAACTGTATAGCCTACACGTATACAGTATGTCACGATCATTTAGAGTACAGGGTCTCCAACCCTGTGAACTGCAAATGCGGAATGAAATTGATGGACAGGGGGGGGGGGGGGAAATTAACCTTGGCTGCCGCAGGCAGGCCCGCGTGCCGTAGGCATATTATGTATTGAATATATTAAGCTTCTTTGCAGCAGATAGAGAATTGTCTGTCTTGACGCAGAAGTGAGATTTACGGATTATGTGCCTTTGAGGGCGGCAGACCATGCAAATGAACTCTTCAAGAAAATGTTTCCAGACTCACAAATAGCCAAAAAGTATGGTTGCAAACATACAAAAATACGTGAAATTGTGAGAAATTGTAATTCTTACCTGTGTTTTAATACATGTACTATTACTATAGTAACCTAACTGTGTACGCTCTCTGAAAAGTCATGAAAAGTGTTTTGAATCCTAACTTGTAGGGTTGAGTCTAGGGTTGAGATAGTGTCATGAGACATGAGAATATGGCCCACAGTATGCCTCAGATTGCAAGAAAATGACTTAAATATTTCAAATCTTTCTGGGGGGGGGGCATGCCCCCACACCCCCATAGCACTGGCATGCCTACGGCACGCGGGCCTGCCTGCGGCAGCCAAGGTTAAAAGTGTGCCGTCTTCTTTCGGAGTTATTATATAAAATTATATAAAACACTACAGTTTGCAGCTGTCAGTATTTCGAAATATGTCCAATTTTTTTACTTTATTGTTGTCAAATTTGGCATGTGCGTGCATGTATGTATGCATGTATAAATGTATGTACGTGTGTTTGTGTGTGTGTGTGTGTGTGTGCGTGTGTGTGTGTGTTTGTTGTTTGTTCGTTTGTGTGTGTATGTGTGTGCATGTGTGTGCACGTGTGTGTATGTGTGTGCGTATGTGTGTGTGTGTGTGTGTGTGTGTGTGTGTGTGTGTGTGTGTGTGTGTGTGTGTTTGTTGTTTGTTCGTTTGTGTGTGTATGTGTGTGTGTGTGTGTGTGTGTGCGTGTCTGTGT